AGGCCCCGGGCGTCGGCCCCCCGCGCTCCGCCCCCTCGGTCTTGGCTCTTCCACCTGCTGCCAGCGCAGGTACCACGCTGCTCCTGTCGGCGGCATCAAGAGAGGTGGGCTGTGCAATGACTTGAAAATGTCAGCCTTCCTTGTCCATGTAAGGTTCCCCATCCTGTTCTATTACGCTAAAGCATAATGAAACCCTTTATCTTTATGAAGAAACTTCATGTCCGTTTAAAGGTCGCTAGTATTTGCACACCATTTTACAAATATTGGCCAGTTGCATCAATAAAAATCCCTGACTTCTGTGTGTAAGGGTGCTCTCACCTGTAAAGGACGCCTCGATTTGCGAAAAGTGCCCTCCCACTTTTTTTCTAACCTGCATAAGGACACAACTTCTATACACAAATTTTCCTATGTGTATAGAGCATTCCAGAATGCATTAAAAAAATCCGTATACCCGTGTAAGGTCCCCTCAAATCTGCATAAGGACCCCCTCTACCTGTATAATGACTCCACTTATGTATATAATGACTCCTCCCATCTTTATTAGGATGCCTCCCGTGTATTTAAGAACCCCTCCAAACCGATTAAGGATTACTTCAGTGTATATGAGGATCCCCAACCCTTGCCATTCATCTTATAATTTGCAAAGTATTTTTTCAGCCACTACTGAACCCGCTGATGCCACACTGATAGGGGAAGTAGAGACCCACCCTCGGAGGGGACCTGACCACCCTGACATCATCACCCAGTCTGTCACTGTTGGAGCTAATACTAAGGTAATAAGGAATCCAGCCCCAAGAGTCCTCTCTTGCTGCAGGGCAGGGCTAGACTTTGCCACCTGGAGTTCCCACACCTGGCTTCCTTTGGGGGGATTGAAATGGGAGGGTGGGAGAACAGAAGATTAGTGCTTCACTTATCCCATACTGACATTTTGCCCCCAATTGGTAAGAAAGGGCTGGGGAGAAAAATAATGATGGTGGTGGTAGTGGTGGCGATGATGATGATAATCATGATCACTATGTTGATGATGGTGATGGTGGTGATGATAATGGTCATGATGACAATGATAGTAATGGTGACGATGGTGGTGATAATGGTGGTGATGGTAATGGTCATGACGACAATGATGATGATGATGGTGGTGTGGAAGATGGTGAGGATGAGGATGATGATGGTGATGATGAGGATAATGATGAGGATGCTCATGGTGAGAATAATCAGGATGTGATAGTTGGTGATGGTCATGATGGTGGTGATGATGATGATCGTCTTAATAATAATGATGATAATGGCAGTGATGATGATGGTGATGATATGATGAGGACAATGATGATTGTGATGACAGTAATAAAGATGAAGATGGTGAGGAGAAGGATGGTGATGATATTGATGGAGACAACAGGGGAGAGTGAAGTTAGCCGCCCCATGACAAACACACACACACACTCATCACCACTCTGCCAGGTATTCTCCTCCAGCTGCCTCCAGTTCTGGCTC